GGAGGGACCGGAATAAACGCCCGTCTGGGATTCCACCGTCTCCGCCGGATTGGCCCAGGGAGTGCCGGCCGGGCCCTGGGCTCAGCGACAAACGCGGCCGGTGGGGCCCCGGGACCCCTCGGGGACGGACGAGGGCAGGGCTCCCTCCGGAGGGACGTGGCTGTGACCCCGCGGCCAGGAGCACGGGCCCAGCGGGCGGGGACGGGGGCCTGGCTACGCGGGGACGGGGGCCTGGCTGGGCGGTGACCCGGGAGGGGTGCCGGGAGCGCAGACTCACCGTCGCTGCCGATTCCCTTGCAGACGGGCTCGCTCCACCGCCCGGTCTTGTTCCGGTCGGGGAGGAAGCCCCGGACGTGGACGCAGTAGGTGGTCCACGGCGCCAGGTTCCTGAGGACCTCGAAGTCATAGTAGCAGGTCACCAGGTGCTGGGGAGGGAGACACAGGTGAGGACAGCAGGGAAGGGACACTGGTCCCCTCTCCCCGCCCCCCGCTTCCCAGGTACAGTCTGGACGTCAGGCTCCAAACAGGAAGACGAGGGGACCTCGCACGTCTCCCAGGTCATCCCGGGCGGGGTCCCGTCTAAGCGGGGCCAGCCCGGACTGACCCTCACACACGTGCTTTTTTTTTTTTTCTTTAATCCTCCTCCGAGGGCATTTTCCCATAGACATTTAGAGCGAGTGGGAGAGAGAGGGAAAGTCAGAGGGAGACACTCGGAATGGCTGCCTCCTGCAGGAGCCCCGACCAGGCCCGGGCGGGGAGGAGCCTGCAACAAAGGTACGTGCCCTTGACCGGAATCGAACCGGGGACCCTGGGTCTGCGGGCCGGCCCTCTGTCCACTGAGCCACACCGGCCAGGGCACAAATGTGTTTCTTTGATTCTCTAGTTCAAACGACACACAAGAAGGATCTGCTAGTCATACGTGTTGAAGTGTGCACCCCCAGTGCACATGCTGACGTCCTCACCCCGGTGCCTCAGAGACCTCGCCGGGCATAGTGTGGGCTTTGCAGGGAAAGCAGGTTACCAGGCATCCTTAGGAGGCAATCATGCCCTGTGAAGAGGGTGCCAGCACGCCCTGTGCCCCCACACGAAGGGCACGTGTGGACACAGACACGCACGCAGAGAGGTGGCGTGTGAGGATGAGGCAGAGATGGGACCTCAAGGCTATCAGCGACCAGCAGGGACTGGGAGGGGCCTGGGGCAGCCGGTCCCTCCGCCTCGAGGGACTAGCCCTGCAGGTGCCGTGACCGGCCTCAGCCTCCAGCCTGGAGGCCATCCCGCTCCCCAGGCCGCAGGGGGTGTTTGTTACGCAGCCCGCGCTGACTGGTACACGGCCGTCTACAGGAAGACTCGGCCAAGAGAACGCGGCTGAGCCTGGCTGCTGGGGTTCCCTCTCACTGCTCCCCGCTCCTGCACCCGGGGTGCCCTCCCCCGCAGGGCCCACACCCCGCTGCCTGGAGGGGCACCCCGACTCCCCTCAGCCTGATCTGAATGTCAGCTGTCACGATGGAGTCTGAGAACCCAGGACCCTGCCGCGGGCCTGTCCTCCGGGGAGCTGCCTGGGGAGGCCGGCCGGCTGCGGCGGGCGCAGGAACGCAGGAAGGGAGCGCAGACGTGCTGTCTGGGGGTGGTTCTCTCCGCGGGGACCGGGCCGGCCGGCCGGCAGCTGTGGACATCCCTTTCCTGCAGAGAAGCTAAATCTGGAGACAGGGACTGGGCTATGCCCACCGGGCACAGGGAGAGGAGGGTGACCCCAATGGTTAAAACCAAGGACAGCCCCGACTCCCGCTTTGGCTGCTACAGTCCAATCCCTCTGGCACCGCGCGGTGCTCTCACCAAAGGCGACCTGGGAGGTGGGCCCGAGGCAGAGAGTGGGGGGGGGGGGGAGATGGGGCCTCCATGGCTTCCCCGGCCCCCTTCCCTCGGGGCAGCTCCTGGTCTCACCCTCCGGTCTGCAGGCGCCCACAGACCGTGGTCTTGTTGCTGGGGGCGGGGGGGGGGGCGGGGGCTGCCTGGGCAGACAACCACAGACGAGTTTATCAACAAGCGTCCTCACAGCCCGGAGCTGGAGTCCAAGGTCCGGCCGGCAGGCGAGGCGTCTGGCGGGGACGCGCCTCCTGGGCGGGAGGGGCGGGGCGGGGCGTCTCCGGGGTCTCGGCCTTAAAAGCTCCCCTCCGTGATCTGATCACCTCCCTCCGCCACCACCCACCGGGGCTTCCGTTCCAACACTGGGGACCCGGACACCCAGCACAGCACAGAGCATCCGGCCGCGTGGCTCAGGGGCTGAGCATCAACCTCTGAACCAGGAGGTCACGGTTCGAGTCCCGGCCAGGGCACAGGCCCGGGCTGTGGGCTCATCCCCAATCGTGCAGGAGGCTGCCGATCAATGATCATCACTGATGTTTCTCTCCTCTCTCCCTCTTCCTGTCCCTTCCTCTCTGAAGTCAATTAAAAAATTTTTTAAAGGCAGGCGGATAGCTTGCATACGGCGGAGTTAACCTGCAGTGTTCCGGGGGCTACGCGGCACGTACTGAATCACAACATTCCTAAGACAAGACTCCCCCCAACCCCATCACAGCCGCTCCAGCCGCCCCAGTCCCCCCAACCTCCCCAGCCACCACAGCCATCCCGAGCCACCTCCAGCCCCCCTCCCAGCCTCCCCGCCCCCCAGCCGTCCCCAGCACCCCCAGTCTTCCCAGCTGCCCCCATCCCCCCCACCCCTCCGCAGTGCCCCAGCCGCCCGGCCGCAGACTGTTCCCCGTTTGCTGACGAAGGGCTCATGGTGGCCTCTGCGCAGACATGAGGAAGCTGAGGCCCAGCATGTGACCACAGTCCCTCGGTGGCAGGGTCACGTCTCCCCGCCCCGGCTGGTGCTTTGGAAGGGACCGCCCCCCCAAAGAGGGGAGGGCGATGGGGCAGGTGGCCGCAACAGGTACCGGTGACACCGCTCAGCCCGGGGGGCTGCTGCCCGTGGCTGGACCGACCGGGGTGCAGGTGGGGCTTGGGGTCAGGCCATGACACGGCCGTCACTCAGCGACCACCTGACTCAGTGGCTCTCCCGACTCAGCCTCCCCGAGTTCCCCAGCCAGACGCCGAGTCAGCGCGGCCTGCAGCTTCCCCCACACCGCCCCCCCAGGGAGGGGAGGTCTGGTCCCCCCCGGCACCCGGCCGACTGTTCCTGCCCGTCCCCAGGCCCCGTGTGAGCTGGGACACGGCCTCCCGCAGACCGGAGCGCTGGGCGCTGCCCCCTAGGGAGACCCTGACTGGGGGGCCCCCTGGCGCCCCCTCCCGGGTCGCCATGGCCTCAGACCGCATGGGGCGGGGAGCGGAGGCCCGGCCTGCAGCTCACCTTGGTGTCCGAGCCGTTCTTCCAGTACTCCACGTGGTACACCCACAAGCTGTAGATGTTCTTCACGGTCCACGCCCGCTCCTTCTCAATCCTCGGGGCTAGGAGGTGGATGTGTAAGGAGTTGGCCAAGGCTTCCACGCGCATGCCCGGAGGCCCGATAACGGCTGGGGGGCGAACAGAGCGAGAGGACGATCAAACGTCATCGTTTAAAAACGGCAACGTCTAGCCGAGACCGGTGTGGCTCAGTGGATAGAGCGTCGGTCTGCGGACTGAAAGGTCCCGGGTTCAATTCCAGCCAAGGGCATGTACCTTGGTTGCGGGCACATCCCCAGTAGGGGGTGTACAAGAGGCAGCTGGTCTAGGTCTCTCTCTCTCATAGATGTTTCTAACTCTCTGTCCCTCTCCCTTCCTCTCTGTAAAAAATCAATAAAATATATTAAAAACAAACACCGGCAATGTCGGATGCAGACCCTGGTCCACGGGGGCGCTCTGCTCTTGGCGAGCCCCCTGCCGGCGGCTAAGGAGGGCAGCTGGGTTATTTCTGAAAAATAAATCTGACGACCTTTGCTTCTACTAACCACGATGGTTCATTTATATGCGTTGTAATTCCTGATGTCTTCCAAACTATAAAAGCACCTTATCTGTGTTTCCTGTAAAGACTGCCCCCCCCCCCCCCCCCGTCCCCCACTCCACCCCACCCCGGCTTTCAAGGTGGAACCAGTTTCAAAGCCCGAGGTCCTGGTTACGTTCACCTCCTAACCTCTGGGGGCCCCCGGGCCCTCCAATCTCACCGGGAACACTGTTTATGCTTCCCAGGCAGCCTGACCCAACACACCTGCCACGGGCCACGTCCACGGCTCCGTCCTTCCTTCTGGGCAAGCAGGCCGTCTCCCCGCCCACCCTGCCTGAGCACCGCTATGCTTGGTCTCTGTCTCTCATTTCTTTCCGTCCTAACTCCAAACCCACTTCCTCCCAGAAAAGGTTCTACGCTCACGCACTGCGCAGCGATGTGTCAGCCACGACGGACCACACGTGTGACCGTGGCCCCTGAAGAGTCCCATTGCCTGGTGAGGTCACAGGCATCGTGAGGTGACAGAGCAACGCGTTCCTAACGGGTCTGTGCTGATGCTGGTGTCAAAAAGCTTTTTTTTTTTTTTTTTTTTAAAAAAAAACGACTGATACTACTGTTATTTTCTTATTTATATACATATACCCAACATGACAGCAGGGCTGGATCATCTGGAATGGCTGAGGGCATTTCCCAAATCCGAAAAGGATGTATAAATGATTGCTTTGCTGCCAGAACAGCTGAGGACATTTCAATCTACAAGTTACTGCCTCCCACTGGTCAAACACCTGAACAGCGGGAGTTAGTTCCCCCAATCTGACAATGGATTCTGTATACTAAACTCTGGCCTTTGATGTGTATTATCCCCACCCTGCCTTAGGACAGTTTGTGTTAATAAAAAGCAAGGGGTCCTGAGACAAGGGAGAACTTAGTTTCTTTAGCAAGCTCCTCTGGCCCCCCAAATGCCTTCCAAAATTATGTTTCATCTCTGGACTCTTGACTAATTTACACACAGCACTTCTCCAGATTCCTGACCCTTCTAGATGCTGAATCAAGACCCCCCTGCCCAGCATGCACACACACACACACACACACTGAGTGGCCAGATTACTATGATCTCTGAACATATAATAATCTGGCCACTCAGTATATATCCTATATAATAAAAGGCTAATATGCAAATTGTCCCCTTGACCAGGAGTTTGACCAGCAGGCAGACTGGCCAACTGTCCATGTCCCCTTCCCCTGGCCAAACTGGCCGGCCCCCAACCATGCACAAATTCATGCACCAGGCCTCTAAAATTTATGCATGCACCTGCGCGCATCCACACACACACACACACACACACACACACACGCTGAGTGGCCAGATTATGTGTTCAGACATCATCATAATCTGGCCACTCAGTGTATACAAACACACACACACACACACACACACACACACACACACGCTGAGTGGCCAGATTATGTGTTCAGACATCATCATAATCTGGCCACTCAGTGTATACAAACACACACACACACACACACACACATATATACTTTTAATTGAATTCAGAGAGGAAGTGAGAGGTAGAGGGAGAGACAGATAGAAACATCAATGATGAGAGAGAATCATGGATCGAGCCTCCTGCCCTGTGGCTATGTGCCTGACTGGGAATTGAACCGGTAAGCCCCAGCTGGGCCCTTCTCTACGTTTAGACACACAGATTCTCTCATGGCGTCCCCCTGCCTCTGGAATTCAGCGCAGCAACCAGCTGGCCGGGCCGTGGCCGAGGAGCCACGGGCCGGGTCACGCCGCCCATGTGTGCGGTGGGCTGTGCCTCCCGGTGTGTGAGGGTCGATAAGGGGGCTGCACACTGAGGTCGCCTGGTGACACATTTCTCACGGGTCCCCCGGCTCAGCGGCGCATGGCTGGACGTTAGCCACCCGGGCCTTCTCATGATCAGCCCTGGCCCCAACCTTCTCACCGTGAAGGCATCCCGGCGCTAAATCTCCACGTGGCCATCGTGCGGACTTCCTGCCGGCCCTCCCGTCCCTCCCAGGTGCTCTGAGGCCACGACCCTCTTTCCGTGTGTCCCCTACGTTCCCGGGACAAGGCCGCCCGCCTTGTGGGCACCCAGAGGGTCTGGCCGGCGGGCAGCGTCGGGGACGACCCCGAGGCGTGGCGAGGACGTCACGGCGACACGGAGGGCGGGCGACTTACTGTCGTCGACGGGACAGAAGCTGAGGTTCACCCAGGCAGAGTGCTCGGCCCCGCGCTCGGCCCTGACGCGCAGCGTGTGGTCGCCGTACTTGGAGAGGTCCGAGAAGTCGCACTCCGTGGCGTTGGTGCCCGCGCAGCGGTCCTGGAACTTCCTGTAACTACAGAGCCCGGCTCGAGAACGGCGGCCTCGTGCACGGCCCCACGGGCCCCGCCTGGAACTCGGCACGCGACCCTGACCGGCATCGAACTGTGGTCACCACGGAGCCACGCCGGCCAGGCGAGCGAGCACACTCATCGTCCGTGCCAACGACCAGGACGCATGATTCGTGAGCGTTTTACACACAGGCTACCACGAGACGTGGCTGCGCCTGGAGCTGTTTAAATGGAGAGATCATAAATGATTCCGGCCCCGTGGGCGGGGCTCCGTGGTTGCGTGTTGACCTGTGAGCCAGGAGGTGTACGATTCTGGGTCAGGGCACAGGCGCAGGTTGCGGGCTCCATCCCCAGTAGGGGGCAGGCAGGAGGCAGCCGATCCATGATTCTCATCACTGATGTTTCTCTCTCTCTCTCTCTCCCTTCATCTCTGAAATCAATAAACATATATTTAAAAATAAAATAGAATTAAGAAACCGTAGTTTGTGTCAGTCCCAGAGAAGTGTCTCCTATTGAAAAACTACGAAAAACCCAGGTGACAAACATGAGAAGCTCGCTCATCATCGGTGATGCGGTGGCCTCATGTCCCGGTGACAAACCACCTCCCTCTCCCCCGGCCCCGCGGTGCCCGGCCCGGCACCGGACGGAGGGAAACGGTCCGCCTGCTGGCCGGGCCGCACTTCCACAGGCAGGTCTGGCAGGAAGAGACCACGGCGGCGCCGGGGGCAGCCACAGCCACGGCCACGTGAGTGACGCAGGCCGCTGCCCGAGGGCCAGCCCGGCGCCGACCCGGGGCCACTGTCCCGGCACCTTCCCGCCACCCACGCCCCAGACTCACCCGAGGTACTGAGCTGTGAAAGTTAGGGTCCCATTGGGAAACGCAGGCGACTCCCATTCCAGAATGTTCTTGAAATTAATGGAATTCATCCTGACGTTTTCTGGAGGAGGCACCATGCCTATGGCTGCGAAAATAAAGGGAAGATGGTTCTTCCCTCTGGAAGGTCCCCACAGCCCTGGCCAGCTGGGTCAGCGGAGAGCACACCTGCCTGTGCACCGAGGGGTAAATTCCCAGGCAAGGGCAAATCCCTGGGCTGCAGGCCCGATCCCCGTTTGCAGTTGGGGCACGTGCATGTGGGAGGCAGCCAATCGATGAGTCTCTCTCACACGGATGTTTCTCTCTCTCTCCCCTCCTACCCACTCTCTCTGAAAACCAATGGGATAAATATCCTTGGGTAAGGATTAAAAAAAAAGCCCTTGCTGGTGTGTGGCTCAGTGGATAGAGCGTTGGCTTGCGGACTGAAGGGTCCCAGGTTTGATTCCGGTCAAGGGCACATGCCCAGGTTTCGGGCTTAGTCCCCAATAGGGGGCATGCAAGAGCCAATCAGTGATTCTCTCCCATCATTGATGTTTCTATCTCTCCTCTCCTCTCTGAAATAAATGAAAATGTTAAAAAAAAAAAAAAAAAAAAAAAAAAAGTCGCCCAAGAAAATGACCAGCCCAGCCCTCAGGCCTCCCCTCTGGCTCCGCGCCCACGGGGCGCAGGGAGAAGAGGAAGGGTGAGGTGGGCAGGGGGTCAGACACGTCTGCTGCGGAGACGAGACGGGAGCTGAATCTCCATCCCGGCCTGAGCGCCTGGCGCCGATGGGGCTGGGGGCAGGGAGGCGAGCGCCCCTTCAGCAGCACCAGGTTTGGGGTGCTGGAGCCATGCTCAAGGGGCGTGTGGGACAGTGGATGAGTGACTCTGAGGCTGGAGGACAGATTTGGGCTGGAAATGGAGGTCATTTTTAAACTTGATAGGAACTACCTAACATCCACACAAGCAGAGGCGGGAAAACAAGACGGCCACTAGCCGGTCTCCAGCCGGTGCCGGCGGGGGGGGGTCTGGGCCGGCAGGAGGGGGGTCCGGGCCGGCAGGGGGGGGTCTTGGCCGTCAGAGAAGGGGGGTCCGGGCCGGCAGAGGGGGGTCTCGGCCGTCAGAGGGGGTCTAGGCTGGCAGAGGGGGACCTGGGCTGTCAGAGGGGGGTCTGGGCTGTCAGAGGGGGGTCTGGGCTGTCAGAGGGGGTCTGGGCTGGCAGGTGGAATGGGGGTGGGGGGAAGGGGTGGTGTTGGGGGAGAGGTTGGGGGTTGGGGGTTGGTGGGGGAGAAGGGGTGATGTTGGGGGAGAAGTTGGGGGTGGGGGGGAGGGGGTGGTGTTGGGGGGGAGGTTGGGGGGAGAGGTTGGGGGTTGGTGGGGGGAAGGGGTGATGTTGGGGGTTGGGGGTGGGGGTTGGTGGGGGGAAGGGGTGGTGTTGGGGGAGAGGTTGGGGGAGGGGGTTGGTGGGGGGAAGGGGTGGTGTTGGGGGGAGGTTGGGGGAGGGGGTTGGTGGGGGGAAGGGGTGGTGTTGGGGGTTGGGGGTGGGTGTGGGGGGGAAGGGGTGGTGTTGGGGGTTGGGGGTGGGGGTTGGTGGGGGGAGGGGTGGTGTTGGGGGAAGTTTGGGGGGGTGGGGATTGGTGGGGGAAGGGGTGGTGTTGGGGGGGGTTGGGGGTTCGTGGGGGGGAAGGCGTGGTGTTGGGGGAGTGGTTGGGGGGGTGGGGGTGGGGGGAAGGGGTGGTGTTGGGGGGGAGAGGTGGGGGGGGTGGGGGGGAAAGGGTGTTGGGGGGAGGTTGGGGTTTGGTGAGGGGGGTGGGGGGGCCAGGAGTTGGGGGTGGGGTGAGGGGGGAAGGGGTGGTGTTGGGGGGGGGTTGGGGCTGGTGGGGGGGGAAGGCGTGGTGTTGGGGGTTGGGATGGGGGTTGGTGGGGGGAAGGGGTGGTGTTGGGGGTGGTGTTGGGGGTTGGGGTGGGGGTTGGTGGGGGGAGGCGTGGTGTTGGGGGAGAGGTTGGGGGTTGGTGAGGGGGGTGGGGGCCAGGAGTTGGGGGTGGGGGGGTTGGTGGGGGGAAGGGGTGGTGTTGGAGGTTGGGGGGTGGGGGTTGGTGGGGGGAAGGGGTGGTGTTGGAGGTTGGGGGTTGGTGGTGGGAAGGGGTGGTGTTGGAGGTTGGGGGAGGGGGTTGGTGGGGGGAAGGGGTGGTGTTGGGAGTTGGGGGTGGGGGTTGATGGGCGGAAGGGGTGGTGTTGGAGGTTGGGGGAGGGGGTTGGTGGGGGGAAGGGGTGGTGTTGGGGGTTGGGGGTGGGGGGTTGGTGGGGGGAAGGGGTGGTGTTGGGGTTGGGGGTGGGGGTTGGTGGGGGGAAGGGGTGGTGTTGGAGGTTGGGGGAGGGGGTTGGTGGGGGGAGGGGTGGTGTTGGGGGGAGGGGTTGGGGGTTGGTGGGGGGAGGGGTGGTGTTGGGGGAGAGGTTGGGGGGAGAGGTTGGGGGTTGGTGGGGGGAAGGGGTGGTGTTGGGGGTTGGGGGAGGGGGTTGGTGAGGGGAGGGGTGGTGTTGGGGGAGAGGTTGGGGGTTGGTGAGGGGGGTGGGGGCCAGGAGTTGGGGGTGGGGGTTGGTGGGGGGAAGGGGTGGTGTTGGAGGTTGGGGGAGGGGGTTGGTGGGGGGAGGGGTGGTGTTGGGGGTTGGGGGTTGGGGTTGGTGGGGGGTTGGGGGCCGGGAGTTGGGGGTGGGGGTTGGTGGGGGGAGGGGTGGTGTTGGGGGGAGGGGGAGGGGGTTGGTGGGGGGAAGGGGTGGTGTTGGGGGTTGGGGGGGGAGGGGTGGTGTTGGGGGGAGGTTGGGGGTTGGTGAGGGGGGTGGGGGCCAGGAGTTGGGGGTGGGGGTTGGTGGGGGGAAGGGGTGGTGTTGGGGTTGGGGGAGGGGGTTGGTGGGGGGAAGGGGTGGTGTTGGGGGTTGGTGGGGGGAAGGGGTGGTGTTGGGGGTTGGGATGGGGGTTGGTGGGGGGAAGGGGTGGTGTTGGGGGTTGGGGGAGGGGGTTGGTGGGGGGAAGGGGTGGTGTTGGGGTTGGGGGAGGGGGTTGGTGGGGGGAAGGGGTGGTGTTGGGGGGAGGTTGGGGGTTGGTGAGGGGGGTGGGGGGCCAGGAGTTGGGGGTGGTGAGGGGGGAAGGCGTGGTGTTGGGGGTTGGGGGAGGGGGTTGGTGGGGGGAAGGGGTGGTGTTGGGGTTGGGGGAGGGGGTTGGTGGGTGGAAGGGGTGGTGTTGGGGGTTGGGGGTGGGGGTTGGTGGGGGGAAGGGGTGGTGTTGGGAGTTGGGGGTTGGGGGAGGGGGTTGGTGGGGGGAGGGGTGGTGTTGGGGGGAGGGGTTGGGGGTTGGGGGGGGAGGGGTGGTGTTGGGGGGAGGTTGGGGGTTGGTGAGGGGGGTGGGGGGCCGGGAGTTGGGGGTTGGTGGGGGGAAGGGGTGATGTTGGGGGGAGGGGGAGGGGGTTGGTGGGGGGAAGGGGTGGTGTTGGGGGTTGGGGGGGGGAAGGGGTGGTGTTGGGGGTTGGGGGAGGGGGTTGGTGGGGGGAAGGGGTGGTGTTGGGGGTTGGGGGAGGGGGTTGGTGGGGGGAGGGGTGGTGTTGGGGGGTTGGTGGGGGGAGGGGTGGTGTTGGGGTTGGGGGAGGGGGTTGGTGGGGGGAAGGGGTGGTGTTGGGGGTTGGGGGAGGGGGTTGGTGGGGGGAGGGGTGGTGTTGGAGGTTGGGGGAGGGGGTTGGTGGGGGGAGGGGTGGTGTTGGGGGGAGGTTGGGGGTTGGTGAGGGGGGTGGGGGGCCAGGAGTTGGGGGCGGGTGAGGGGGAAGGGGGCGGAAGGAGGTGCGGGGGCCAGCCCGCTCCGGGCCTCACCTGTCGCCGCCGCCAGCAGCCAGCCGCCCAGCCAGCCCCGCAGGCCGCGCGCCATGGCCGCGCCGGGTGCCCCGAGGCCGCTGGGGCCGCACGGCCTGTCCCCTCCGGCCGAAGCTCCGGCCCAGCCCCAGGCCGCTTCCGGGTCCCTGGGCCCCGCCCCTTCCCGCCGGGCCCGCCCCTCCATCAGGCCCCGCCCCTTCCCGTCGGCCCCGCTCCTCTCCCCGCAGGCCCCGCCCCTTCCCGCCGGCCCCGCCCCTTCCCGCCGGGCCCGCCCTCCCAACAGGCCCCGCCCCTCTCCCGCGGCCTGCCTCCGCCGTCCCTCCCGGCTGCCCCCGCGCCCGCGCCCCGCCCTCCGGGAGTGGAAAACACCGGTGCAGTGAAACCGGATGCGAAACTGGCGCTCAGGGTCCAGCTCACACAGGCCCCGCCCTCGAGGCGCCGCCACCTGGCTGTGTCCGGCATCACCTGGCTGTGTCTCTGGCATCACCCGGCTGTGTGTCCGGCATCACCTGGCTGTGTGTCCGGCATCACCTGGCTGTGTGTGTCCGGCATCACCTGGCTGTGTGTCCGGCATCACCTGGCTGTGTGTCCGGCATCACCTGGCTGTGTGTCCGGCATCACCTGGCTGTGTGTGTCTCTGGCATCACCCGGCTGTGTGTCCGGCATCACCTGGCTGTGTGTGTCCGGCATCACCTGGCTGTGTGTGTCCGGCATCACCTGGCTGTGTGTCCGGCATCACCCGGCTGTGTGTCCGGCATCACCTGGCTGTGTGTGTCCGGCATCACCTGGCTGTGTGTCCGGCATCACCTGGCTGTGTGTGTCCGGCATCACCCGGCTGTGTCCGGCATCACCTGGCTGTGTGTCCGGCATCACCTGGCTGTGTGTGTCCGGCATCACCTGGCTGTGTGTGTCCGGCATCACCTGGCTGTGTGTGTCCGGCATCACCTGGCTGTGTGTCCGGCATCACCTGGCTGTGTGTGTCCGGCATCACCCGGCTGTGTCCGGCATCACCTGGCTGTGTGTCCGGCATCACCTGGCTGTGTGTGTCCGGCATCACCTGGCTGTGTGTGTCCGGCATCACCTGGCTGTGTGTGTCCGGCATCACCTGGCTGTGTGTCCGGCATCACCTGGCTGTGTGTCCGGCATCACCCGGCTGTGTCCGGCATCACCTGGCTGTGTGTCCGGCATCACCTGGCTGTGTGTGTCCGGCATCACCTGGCTGTGTGTGTCCGGCATCACCTGGCTGTGTGTGTCCGGCATCACCTGGCTGTGTGTGTCCGGCATCACCTGGCTGTGTGTGTCCGGCATCACCTGGCTGTGTGTCCGGCATCACCCGGCTGTGTCCGGCATCACCTGGCTGTGTGTCCGGCATCACCTGGCTGTGTGTGTCCGGCATCACCTGGCTGTGTGTGTCCGGCATCACCTGGCTGTGTGTCCGGCATCACCTGGCTGTGTGTGTCCGGCATCACCCGGCTGTGTCCGGCATCACCTGGCTGTGTGTCCGGCATCACCTGGCTGTGTGTGTCCGGCATCACCTGGCTGTGTGTGTCCGGCATCACCTGGCTGTGTGTCCGGCATCACCTGGCTGTGTGTGTCCGGCATCACCTGGCTGTGTGTCCGGCATCACCTGGCTGTGTGTCCGGCATCACCTGGCTGTGTGTGTCCGGCATCACCTGGCTGTGTGTCCGGCATCACCTGGCTGTGTCCTGGCATCACCTGGCTGTGTCCTGGCATCACCTGGCTGTGTGTGTCCTGGCACCGTGTCCTCTGTGAACCGGCGAGTCCCGCCCCCTTCCTGCACACACGCTGACATACAGCACTTCATTGGAGATCCGGCCTCCCCTCCCCCTGCCCCTGCCCCTGCCCCCGCTTCTCCCCCCCTCTTCCTCCCCTCCCCTCCCCCTCCCTCTCCAGGAACAAGAGACACAGACCCAAGTCAGTCATTTGGCACCGACTCGCCTCTCACGAGCTGCGGGGAAAGGGTTAGCTCCCCCTTTCGAACTCGCACAGGGAGAGCCGGGAGGGGGCAGGGCCGGAGACCCCCAGGTGCCTGAGTGCAGGGTCCCGCGTCCTCCCTCCCGCAGAGGCGAGGCAGCCCGTGACCGCGGCGATGCCCGCAGAACCGTCCACGGCACGTGCGCTCTCGCTGGGAATCGGCCCTCAGCGCACGCCGGTGGGCCTGGGTGGCGCAGTGGGTTGAGCATCCTGTATGCCCACAGGTGGCTGGTCAGGGTGCAGGGCACGCCTGGCTCCGGTCCCCCTGGTGGGGGCCACATGGGAGGCAGCCGACTCAGGCTTCTCTGTCACACGGGTGTTCCTCTCTCCCCTCTCTGTAAGCACGCCCTCAGCAGCCCAGGACAGAAAACAAACTGCGCCACGTCTTATTAAAAAGTACCTCTGTATTGTCCTTTCCCCACCCAACCCTCGTACAAAATTTAAACACACAGGTAGGCATGCACGCTGCCAGAGAGGTCACGGGAAAGGTCACTCTGAAATCGCCGAGGCGCGGCCGACTGCCGCACTCGGAGGCGGAGAGGTGGACGTCCACGCAGTGTTCGCCAACCGGCGGTCCATGAGGTCTGATTGGCGGCGGCCGCGGGTTCGACGCCGTCCCTTTGCTACAGAACCCGTCAGATCCTCTCTCTCTCTCTCTCTCTCTCTCTCTCACCTGACAGAGTTACTTTAGAACAAGAAAATAACCTATCCAATGTCCTTGACCTAGTAGGACTGCTGTAAACTTTGCTCCCCCCCCCCCCGTCCCCTCGAAAGGATCCAGAGGAAGGTCTGAGGACCCTGCTTCTGGGTGAGGGCTGAGGTTGGGGGTGGGGTTCTATACCCCCCCCCTGGGGCCTCCCGGGCTGTGGCCCCTCCGCCCGTCATCCGGCCTGTGTAACTATTTATAGAAAAGCCTAACATGCGAATTGTCCCCTGGGGAGTTCAACCACCGGGGAGTTCGCTCGCCCGTGCTGACGTGCGCTGACCACCAGGGAGCGCTGCTGGTGAAGGGAGGCCCGCTAGGGACCGTCCCGGTGCACCGATTTTGTGCACTGGGCCCCTGGCTTCCTAAGATTTCTCCCCGCGTCACAGGGTCTTGGAGAGGACCTTGTCAGGTCCCCTTATTTCACAAGTGAGCACACAACCCAGGCTCAGAGAGGCTGGGCCAAGTGCTCAGGGCCACACAGCGCCATGGGCCCGAGGCAGGAGTCCTGGGCGTCTGCCCCTGGGGCTCTGGAGGGCTGTGGTCACAAGCCGGGCGTCTGGAGTCAGCACACACGGCGCTGGCTGCAGGCCCAGGACCCCCAGGCCTTCATTCTTCCGAGGCCACGGAGGCCTCTGGCCCTCCCCCCGCTGCCTGCCTGCGCTGTCCTGGAGCCCGAGGGAGCCACCGGCCGGCTCCTGCGGCGGCCGGACTGTCTGCCTCTCCCCCACGCCCTCCCCTGCCCTGTCAGTGACCCCCCAGGGCCCTGGGCCACCCCTGCAGACTGTGGGGGGCCCTGCCCCTTCGGGAACAGAGGCAGAAGCGGGGTCAGTGCGTGCTCAGAGGACAGGGCGTTCCCCCGAAGCCGGCCCCTCGGACCGTGTGCACGCGGCCCCGGGAAGACACTGTGACTCCTCCCACACGGGACTGCATAGGGGATGTCCAGGAAGGGGCGCTCTGCCCCCCCCACCTCCCCGCCCCGGGAGCAGCGAGGGGGAGAGGGGGCTGCGGGTAAGGCCCTGTTCCGGGTCATCTCATCATGTAGCCGTCCCCGAGGCGCGCGTTGGACGGGGAGGTGTCACATTCACCACAAGGAGCCTCCTCGGGCCCCGGGGTGCTGTCCTCGGGGTCCTCCAGGCCCCCCGTCTCCTCCAAAGGACCGAACCCCGCGGGGGCTCCGGAGTCCTCCCCATCGGGGACCCTCACGAGCACGGAGTTCAGGTCCACGTTGAAGAAGATCCGGTCCCCGGGGCTCTCGGTGGGGCCGCTGTCCCCCTTGGGAAAGGGGTCCGCCGGCCAGGCCCCTCCCTCCTCCTCGGGGCCTGCCCCCCAACTCCCCTGCCCCTCGTAGGCCCCGCCGGGGCGCTCTGCCCCCCAATTTCCTGTCCCCTCGTAGGCCCCGCCAGAGCGCTCGGCCGGCCAGGGCCCAGGCCCCGGCGCCATCAGGGACTCGGCTTCCTCGCCGGCCCCCGGGGTGGCCGAGGAGGGGGACCCTGGGCACAGAGGCCTGGCCGCCAGCCCGTGCATGGTGTAGGCCCCGGCGCTGGCCCGGGGGTCGGCCTCCTCGTCCCCGTCGCTCTCGTCGCCATAGCTGTAGTCCCACACTCTCCTCTTCCTGTGGACCTGGATCACCTCGGCCACGGCCACCGCCTCCAGGGGCGGCCACTCGGGGAACGCCCAGATGGCCATGCCGTGGAAGTTCTGGGGGAGAGAGAGACGGGACTGAGTGTTTGCTTTTCGTTTGTGGGTGTAATAAAAGTTAAATGATTGCCCTGGCTGGTTTTGCTCGGTGGATAGAGCGTCGGCCTGCGGACTAAAGAGTCCCGGGTTCGATTCCACTCCCTGCACCTGCCCCTCGCTGCCACCTGCATCCTGGCCGGACACCCCCGGTCTGGACTGCCGTCACGCTCTTGACGGGGGAGGGGTCGGGACACGGAGGAGAGACCGAGGCAGCTGATTCCACTGGTGCCCGAGCCCCCGGACTGACCTCGAAAGGGCCTGGAAGAACCGAGGGGGGTGCGGTGGGAGCCCCAAAAGCAACTCGCGGGCAAAAGCGGGAAGGAAACCCTAACATGCGAGGAGGGACCGGAACCCGGAGCCACGGAACCCCTCGGCGTCCGGCAAACGGGACCCCCGCTGTGCAAACACGCCGGCGCGGGAAAAGCAGTGCTCACGCCGAATAACAGACGGAGACGGACACGCAGCCACGTACCAGCACTTTGGGGACCTTGCTCCGGAGGCAGATGTAGCCGACCTGCCGAAGGATGGCCAGGGTGCTGCCCAGGACGGCGACGGTCAGGAACAGCACCACCAGGCCCTGGACCGCGGCCAACGCCAAGGCCTCTGCGGGGACACCAAACGGCTTTGTTTCAAAATGCGCCTCACGGGTGCCACCGCGCAGCGGCACACGGACGCCCTGCGTCTGGTGGCGGAGCGGGTGGCGGAGGAGCGATGGCTGGGAAGATGCTTGTGAAACGCGAACACGAAAATGGAAACAACCCAAATACACATTTCCAAAGGATAACAATGACAGGTTCAGCCGAAACCGGGGTGGCTCAGTGGATGGAGCGTCGGCCTGCGGACTGAAAGATCCCGGGTTCGATTCCGGTCAAGGGCATGTGCCTTGGTTGCGGGCACATCCCTGGTGGAGGGTGTGCAAGAGGCAGCTGATCGATGATTCTCTCATCGATGTTTCCAACTCTCTGTCCCTCTCCCTTCCTTTCTGTAAAAAAAAATCAATAAAATATATTTTTTTCAAAAAATGACAGGTTTAAGTTTTAAAAGTAAGATTAATTCCATTTCCTTTTTTAACTCTACTAAAGATAGTTTTATTCTTTACATTGACTCATAATATCTTCTTTGGATTTATAACATTTAAAAAAATATTTTTTATTTATTTTTTACATCGATTGGCTGCCTCCTGCACTTGCCCTGACGAGGGGAGAAACCCTGGGGAGGAGCCTGCAACTGAGGTACATGCCCTGGACCGGAATCGAACCCGAGACCCTTTAGTCCATGGGCTGACACTCTATCCACTGAGCCACACCTGCCAGGGCCGGACAAGATTCTAAGGGGGAACAGAGAGAGCTACACGGAGCTCGGACTTGGGTCCTGGCATGACCCGAGTCCACCTGCAGGGGACCAGCTGTGGGTTTTAGGCAGAAGCCCCTCGCCCACTGCTCTCCCCCCCCCCCTCCCACAGCGCACATGGACACGTGGCCCGTGTGGCTCAGGAGCTAGGGGTGTTTTCAGTTTTGATCGATGAAATTTCAGTGGTCACTTCACTCATGGCTCATGGCTGCCAGGTTGGGCAGTGCTGTCGTAGATGTAAGTATAGAGCAGAAGTGCCCGCCGGGGTGGCTCCGTGGCTGAGCATCGACCTAGGAACCGGGAGGTCTTGGTTTGATTCACATTAGGACTCAGGCCCGGGTTGCGGGCTCCATCCCCAATGTGTGGCGTGCAGGAGGCAGCTGATCCATGATTCTCTCATCATTGCTGTTTCTAATCTCTCTCTCCCTCTCCCTTCGTCTCTGAAATCAATAAAAATACATTTTTAGAAAATGAAATGGAGCCGAGACCGGATTGGCTCAGTGGATAGAGCATCGGCCTGCGGACTGAAAGGTCCCAGGTTCACATCAACGTTTCTCTCTTTCTCTCTCCCACCCTCTCTAAAAACCAATGGAAAAATATCCTCGTGTGAGGATTAAAAAAAAAAGAAGAAGAACTGAATTTAATCCTGATTCCGTGACATAAAACTGTTGCCACACGGGGCCCCAGCCTCAGGGTCCTCCCTCCCCGGGGGCGTCCCTTCGGAGGGGAAGGGAGCGGGGTCCGAGGCCTGGCCTACCTGAGTCCGGCCTGGGCGGGAGGCGGGTACACTTCCAGGGGGACTGCTGTGAGTTGGACAGGAAGTTGCCCTTCAGGTACACAGACACGCAGTAGTTGGTGTTTGGAGCCAGCTTGTCGATGACGTAGGTGAAGTTGCCGGTGGTGTGCTCGCCGATTTGGAGAAGGTGCTGAGACACGGACACAAACAGCAGGTCAGAGTCTTACTGAGGAGCCGGCCCCGAGGGCACCCCTGGGCGCAGCCTCAGCCCTCACAGGGGGATGGGAGACCCCACGCTCGGCGAGGAGAGGGGTCACACGTCACTTGGGACGAGCCGTGTCCCACGGAACCACATGCACGCCTGCACACACGCACACGTCTAAGCTATGGAATCTCGTTCTGCAGACGCGGAGAGAAAGCCCCATGAGGAGTACAGTCTCCATGATGCCACTTCTATGGCGCCGTCCAGGGACCTGGTTGTAGGAACGGTGCCTTCCCCAAAGGGCGTCCTTCCTGGGGCCCAGGGAGGCGCCCGCAGCCCAGAGAGAGTGAGACCTTCCCGAGGCCACACAGCCTGGGGCAGAGCGGAGGGCCGCTCCCTCCCCAGGCCGGTCCTCCCTCCGGGCTCAGACGGGCGCTAGAGGCCCTTCTGCAGGACGGACGGCCTGCAGCTCTCAGAGCCGGAGCTGGCTTTTTGGTTTCGGAATCGGCACGGCCCCTGCCGCCCAGTGAGCCCCCCTGTTCTTCCTCAGCCGTGGCCACGGCCGAGACCAGCACCAGGTCCTGGTCTCTCTTCAGCATCTCGTTTGTATTTCTCACGCGGCCACACTCTGGCCGGGGGCCTGCCTGCCCCCGGGGCTGCTGGGCTGGCGCCTGTCCTCCCGCCGGCACCACATGCCCTCTCCCGGGGTGTCCCTGGCTCCCGGCTAATCCCGAGGAGTCTGCTGCGGGCCCAGTCCATGCAGGTCCGTGACCAGGGAACGCTGGAGGCCTCTTCCTGACATCAGACCACACTGGCCTCGGCCCTTCGGGCCCAACTGCTCAGATCAGTACGAATGCCTTCATTTTTATTTCAATTAATTAACTAATTAATTAATTTTAAATCCTCACCCAAGGACATTTTTCCATTGACTTTTAGAGAGAGTGGAAGAGAGAGGGAAAGACTGAGAGAAATATCGATGTGAGAGAAACACATCAATTGGTTGCCTCCTGCACACACCCTGACCAGGGCCTGGGGCAGAGAGGAGCCTGCAACCAAAGTTAAACCGGAGTCGAACCTGGGACCCTTTGGTCCACAGGCTGGCGCTCTATCCACTGAGCCAAACTGGCTAGGGCGATAACTTTTTTTTTGTTTGAAGTGTATAGCCTATATAATAAAAGCATAATATGCTAAGTGTCCAGTCAACTGATTGGCCATTCAACCAATCAAAGCATAATATGCAAATGATATGCTAAGGCCGCTCAACCGCTTGCTATGATGTGCACAGACCAGCAGGGAGCAGACACTCTGACCGGTAGGTTAGCTTGCTGCTGGAGTCTGGACAAATGGGACTCAGTGAGACGGGCTGGACGTGCTCTGAAGCCCTCCCGTGGCCCCTCCCCAGCTGGCCAACCTCCTGCATCCCCTATTGTGTCCTGGTGGGGGCCCTCAGCCTGGCCTGTGCCCTCTCGCCATCTGGGACCCCTTTGGGGATGTCACAGAGCTGGTTTTGGCCTGATCCCACTCAATGCAGGAGCTGCCCCCTGGTGGTCAATTACCCCTGAGTTGTAGCGCTCAGCCAGAAGCTGGGATCACAGACGGCGAGGGCAGGGGGGAGTGGGCCTACGCTGGCAGATGGACATCCCCCGAGGGCTCCCGGACTGCGAGAGGGCGCAGGCTGGGCTGAGGGACACCCCCCCCAATCCCTGAGTGCACAGATTCCGCGCACCGGGCCCCTCGTATGAATGTAAAGGAGTGTCATCACCCACTCAGCACTGCTCTGACCTCTTACCTGCTTCACAATGCCCTCCGACTCCTCCTCTATGGAGAGCGACAGGTGCAGCCACAGCCCTTCCCCAGGCTGCAGCTTGGGCAAGGCGGGCGGGAACTTCAGGGTCACGTTGATGTGGTCCTCGAAGCCGGAGATCTCGAACTCAGGGGGTTCCAAAATCACTGCGTGGAAAACAGAGTCAGACGCGACCCCCCTGCCAGCCGGCAGCCGCGCCCGCGTCCCCAGGGGGCCTTCCTGCCTTCTGCCCGCTGTCTTCCTCCCAACCTGCCTGCGGTCCTGCGTGAGGCCTGGCTATGGCTTGTTTTTAGTTATTTTTCAGGAGCGTTCGTGTGGGCCTCCTTTCAATCGATGGAACACGGGGACCAACAGGAGAGATTTGCTTCCCACCCGCACAGGAAGCGGGACAGAAGTCAGTGCTTGCCCGATGGCCAGGCTGTCTTCTAAGCACAGAAGTGAGTGCCTTACTTCCCCATTACAGCTGTAAGGTCGGGACCAAGGCCTCTGGTTTTGTTTTTTGTTTATAAATTTTTAAAAAAATATATTTTATTGATTTTACACAGAGAGGAATTGAGAGGGACAGAAAGTTAGAAACGTCGAGAGAGAAACATTGATCAGCCTCCTCTTGCACACTCCCCACAGGGGATGTGCCCGCAACCAAGGTACATGCCCTTGACCGGAATCGAACCCGGGACCTTTCAGTCCGCAGGCCGACACTCTATCCACTGAGCCAAACCGGTCCCGGCCAAGGCCTCTGTTTTTCCTGGCTGTGGCCTCCCACCATTCATGAGGAGCCCCTGGCAGTGACACTCCAAGACTGATGGCTCCTCTGATTCAAACGGGATGAGATGAGCTGCTCTCAAGGCTACATTCCTGCACCCCCCTCCTCTCTGCTGTTTCTACAACTCAGGGGTAGCGCACACCAACGAATCTCTGGTTAGAGGGAAAGTCCCCCGAACAGGCCTCTCTCAAGCTCTGTAACCTTTGCTCAGCATGTTTTGCGGGGATGAGGAAAACAGCTGTAAGACACTTCCCCAGGATGTCCGCCTGATTCCCAGAAAACAAGCTAACTTTTCAGGAGAGCCCCTGGTATCTGCTCCACCCAGCCAGTCCCCCGTCACCCGCCGCCCGTCCTTGTTGCTTAGCAACAGCCCCTGCTGAGAAGATCAGGCCACCCTTTGTTCCCTGCCCGGAGTCAACCAGCTGCAGTATCTGGCCCTTTCATCCCTTGGGAAGTAATATAAACTTCCTCTCTGCGCCTCTCCTCTCTGCATGAATTCTCTCATAGCCCGAGTCACCGGCCACGCCCTGACCACCAGGGCAATACACAACCCCTGCAGAACCAGCAGAGACCACGGACAACTGCTTCTGAAGGTGGCTGGCCATCTTCTGTCTCTACGGTCTGTGTGTGAACACACACAGACATATATGCATGGAACGGGTGCGCACACACCCCCCCCCACACACACACACCCTCCTAAGCTAAAATCAAACCGTTCTTTACCCACAGCATCCTACGCGGTACACGTCTCCACTTATTTCATAGACATATCAACGCCTATGTTTATCTATATGAGGGGTTGGCCAAGCCCGGCCTGTGGGTGAATTTCTGCACAGCCTGCACGTTGAGAAGGGCTTTTAGCTTTGTAAAGGTTGTAAACAAATGAAGAATACGTCACAGAGACCACAGGTGGCCCACACGGTCTACTGTGTTTCTCTCTGGCCCCTGACCTTCCTCACAATTTCTCTCAGCGAATTCCCTCCCGCGAGGCGGCTGGACCCAGACTGAGCGGGCCGCTGCTCTGAACACTTGGGCCGACTCGCACTTTTCTGAACAGAATCTGTGTGTCAGTGAGTCTCCTTGGAGCTGAATCTCTGCTCTCACCCATCGTCTCTCTAGGATACATCGCTCCGGGGGAATTGTGGGTTAGGCAGGCAGGTGTCAAGGTTTCTGATTCTCCCAGCAACCCCTGCAGAAGGACGGGGCCACAGCAGACGCCCTGTCTTTCCTTTCACCTGGGCACTCACGGATTTTTAATGCCTGCCGTTTGGAGTCTTGGAAGAGCAGTATCTGTCCCTTTCCTCCCTTGGGAAGTAAGGTGGTTTACTTTCTTTTAAAAAAAGACATTTTTATTCATTTCACAGAGGAAGAGAGAGGGGGGAGAGAGAATCATGGATCGGCTGCCTCCTGCACACCCCTACTGGAGATGGAGCCTACAGTCTGGGCCTGGGCCCGACCAGGAATCAAACCTCGACCTTCTGGTTCACAGGTCAACGCGCAAGCACTGGGCCCCGGCGGCCGGCATCTTATTATTATTTTAACAAATGGTCTCTAATGCCCTCACGGCCACGGCCTGGGAGCTGTGCTTGCCTTTTTCTCAGCGTGGGGACACACCCACAGGAACGGCCTCCTGGGACCTGCTGCCCGCCTCGGGCACGGGCTGTCATTACCGCTGAGCATGCCCTCGCCGCCTTCCACAGGAGCTAAAACCCAGCCTTTCTCTCGGGAACAGGTGCCAGCGAGGACACTGAGAAAGCAAGAAGCCGAGGGCCTGGCGGAGGCGCCGACACCCGCCGTGGGGCTGTGGGCGGAGGGAGGCAGGGCCCTGGGCACGCCCAGTCTGAGCTGGGCCCCAGGCACGCCCACCTCGGCGCCCACACGGCCAAAGGCTCCTGAGATGTGGTCTGGGGGAGGCGTGGCAGGACAGAGGAGAACATCGGCCCCGCTCACCCACAGGCCGGGGGACCCTGCGCCCGCTGCCCGCCAGGCGGTGAAACAGACCACCACGGCCGGCCGCGCGGCTCAGGGGCTCAGCATCGACCCAGGACCCAGGAGGTCAGGGTTCGATTCCCGGGCGGGGCACAGCCCCGGGTTGCGGGGTCGATCCCCAGTGTGGGGTGTGCAGGAGGCAGCCGGTCCATGATTCTCTCATGGATGTTTCTCTCTGTCTCTCCCCCGTCCCTTCCTCTCTGAAATGAATATAAATATATAAAACAAAACAAGCCAAAAAGGCAAGCCAACAGGCAGCAGTGGTACTGCCCGTGCCTGCCTCCCGCCGGGAGCCGAGGCTCAGAGCCTGAGGAGCCACTCCGCCAGGGAGCCGGGCAGCGGCCGGCGGGCGGGAGCGCCGAGGCCCCAGTGCAGACCGCCCGCGTCCCGGCAGGAACGGCTCTGCTCTGGGCGCCGGAGGCTGGAAGGGGAGAACTCACTGTCCGTGTCCGGGAAGATGGAGCCCTCGCAGTCCACCAGCGTGGCGCCCCCCCGGGACCCGACGAGCCGGGGCAGGTACATTTCGGTCAGGCTGCGCCAGTGCCGCGTGAGGTCGCAGGAGGCCCGCGTGGTGTTGGCGCACTCGGGGACCAGCTCCAGGGGGACGTTTGAACCGCTTCGAGGGGAGAAACGGGCGGAGACACTGTTTACTGATGAGACGCCGTCCGGGTGTGGCCAGGGCCGGTCCCGCTCCCCTGTCCTCCTCCCACCTCCCCTGCTCCGGGGACCGGGATTGCCATCGCCTCTGCACCTCTGCCAGGGTGTCTGCAGCGGGCAGGGTGGGGCCGGCTGTCCCTGCACGAGCAGGCACACAGGGAGAGCGAGTGGACCGGGTGCTCCGGGGGAGGCCCTGGGGCTCCCTGCTCCTCCCCTGCAATCGGGGTGCCCCGCCGAGACCCCGTCTCTCCCCAGCTGAGGACCCAGGGCCCTGTGCCCGGCCAGCCGGTGCCAGGAGGGCGGCACGCCCTCGGCCTCCTCGGCTTCGGAGCGGCAGGCGGCACCGAGGCTCCCAGAGCCCTCCAGGCCGCGGGCTCTGGGGCTGAGGCCGGCCTAGGCACCAGGAGGCCAGGGTTCGATTCCCGTCAGGGCACAGGCCCGGGTTATGGCTCCACCCCCGTGTGGGACGTGCAGGAGGCAGCCGGTCCATGACTCTCTCTCACCGTGGGTGTTTCTCCCTCTCCCTCCCTCGCTGAGATGAAATACAGTTCACAAAAGCTTGGTGCCACAAGAGCCAAGGGCACCCTGTGGGGCTCCTGGCCAATGGGACTGGGTGAGTGTGCCCCACGGGGGAGAGCGAAGGAGGCGTGTCCACCACATCGCTGACCCCGCAAGGCCCCAAGGACGGAGCTCTGTGGCCGGGGTCACAGGTCAGAGGGTCAGAGGGTCACAGGGCCACAGGGCCACAGGGCCACAGCGGCGACCCAGCCGGACTCTGGGCCCGGGAGCTTCCCCCGTGCCTCCGTCTCCCTGAGCTCAGCAGAGAGCCGGGCCTGGCGCTGGTCCGGCCTCTGGGCGCCTCCAGGAAAGGGCGCCTTTCCCACAGCCCCGCCCGGGGATCGGGGATCAGACACCCTCGCTCTCTGCTCCTGAGGCTCTGAGCGCAGGAATGGCTTTGGTCACCAACGTGAGCTTTGTCCCAAGTGGCCGTGACCTGTCCAAGCATCTCGTTCAATCACACAGGGATAACACATGCGCGCGCGCACGCACGCACACAAACACACACACACACACACACACACACACACACAGAGTGCGGGGTTGAGGGTGGGGGGGAGGGAGAGAGGAAAGAGAGAGAGAGGAAGGAGAGAAGGAGAGAGGAAGAGGGAGGCGGGGGGAGGGAGGGAGGGAGAAGAGGGGAGGGGGGGCGGGGGGAGGCTCTGTCTCAGGGCTGTCCCCCCCACCACCACGGGGAATGGCTATGGTCCAGCAGGGAAGGGCGAGCCGGGACCCTCACCTCATGTCCGTGTGCCACAGCGTGTAGTGCGTTGGCATGATGGAGCGGTTTTTCAATTCCCAGGAGAGAATGGGCCGGAAGTCCCTCAAGGTCAGTCTGAAAATGCAGGACTCATTGGAAGACTCTAGCGAGGAGCAGAACAAACACACGTGGCTGACAGGGTCCTGACCACGCAGCCCTCGCCTCCCTCTCCCCCCAGCCTGGGACCTGGAGCCCACATTCCTGGCCAAAGCTGCTCGGAGCCAGCCCGGGCTCTGGAAACATCGACCAGCTGCCTCCGCACACCTCCTACTGGGGATGTGCTCACAACCCAGGTACATGCCCTGGACCGGAATCGAACCCGGGACCCTTCAGTCCGCAGGCCGGCGCTCTGTCCACTGAGCCGCACCGGTGAGGGCTATGACAGGGTCTTTGGTGGGAGAATCTTAGGGGTTTCACAACGGCCTCCGGGGCTCGTTTCCTCCAATAATTTTGTGAGGCAAGCGGGAGCGCCAGCTCGGCCCCTTTTCCAGAGACGGGCCTTTGGGAAGGATGGTTCCAGCGAAATGGGCAGCGGGTCTGGGATGGGAAGCACATTCCCCCCGGAGACGCCTGAACGGCCCACCCGCCCGCCCTCCCGGCCATTAGCCCGTGGGGCGCCGCTCACCAGGCCACGTCTGCGGAGCTCGGAGCGCCGGCCCGGCGTGCACTGGGGGAGAAAGCCAGTCAGACACACGGCACGTCCTCGGCCCGTCCCCCCGCCGCTCCCGCCCGCCCTCCCACGGCGAGTGAGCGCGGGGCGGAGGCCTCCCTGTGCTGCGGGACCCTCCGCAGGGGCGTGGACCCTCCATAGGGGCGTGGACCCTCCATAGGGGCGTGGACCCTCCATAGGGGCGTGGACCCTCCATAGGGGCGTGGACCCTCCATAGGGGCGTGGACCCTCCATAGGGGCGTGGACCCACCGCAGGGGCGTGGACCCTCCATAGGGGCGTGGACCCTCCATAGGGGCGTGGGCCCTCCGCAGGGGCGTGGACCCTCCATAGGGGCGTGGGCCCCACCATAGGGCGGCGTGGACCCTCCATAGGGGCGTGGACCCTCTGCAGGGGCGTGGGCCCTCCGCAGGGGCGTGGGCCCTCCATAGGGGCGTGGACCCTCCATAGGGGCGTGGACCCTCCATAGGGGCGTGGGCCCCACCATAGGGCGGCGTGGACCCTCCATAGGGGCGTGGACCCTCTGCAGGGGCGTGGGCCCTCCGCAGGGGCGTGGGCCCTCCGCAGGGGCGTGGACCCTCCATAGGGGCGTGGACCCTCCATAGGGGCGTGGGCCCACCATAAGGGCGTGGGCCCCACCATAGGGCGGCGTGGACCCTCTGCAGGGGCGTGGGCCCACCATAGGGGCGTGGGCCCCACCATAGGGCAGCGTGGACCCACCGCAGGGGCGTGGGCGAGGGCGCTGAGCACAGGGGGCTGCCTGGCGGGCGGAGGGACGGTCGGAGGAGCAGCCTTCCGCCTGGAGAAGCCTCGGGACAGAAAGCAGCTGCTGCTGGTTACTGAGCCTCACGGCAAGGAGGCCACCCAGGCGGGGGCTGGGGGAGGGGGTGCAGGGGTGGGGACTGGCTTGTCCTCTCCCTCCGATGGCACGGTGAGCAAAGACATTTCCCCGGTCGCGGCCACAGCTGCTGCAGGCACACGGCAGGGACGGGCAGTGCTGCCTGGGACCGATGACAGACGGATGATGGATGACGGATGGATGACAGACAGATGACAGATGACGGATGGATGACAGACAGATGACAGATGACAGACAGATGACAGACAGATGACGGATGACAGACAGATGATGGGTGACAGACAGATGATGGATGACAGACAGATGACAGACAGATGACAGATGACGGATGGATGACAGACAGATGACAGATGACGGATGGATGACAGACAGATGACGGATGACAGACAGATGACGGATGACAGATGGATGACAGACAGATGACGGATGACAGACAGATGATGGATGACAGATGGATGACAGACAGATGACGGATGACAGACAGATGACAGACAGATGACGGATGACGGATGGATGACAGACAGATGACAGACAGATGACGGATGACAGATGGATGACAGACAGATGACAGATGATGGATGGATGACAGACAGATGACGGACAGATGACAGATGGCAGACAAATGACGGATGACAGATGACGGATGATGGACGGATGACAGACAGATGACGGATGACGGACGGATGACGGATGACGGACGGATGACAGACAGATGATGGATGACGGACGGATGACAGACAGATGACGGATGACAGGTGACGGATGATGGACGGATGACAGACAGATGACGGATGACGGATGGATGACAGACAGATGATGGATGACGGACGGATGACAGACAGATGACGGATGACGGACGGATGACACAGGCTGCTAGAGCAGTCCCCGGCGAGGCGCACAGGCACACACGTGACGGAGGAAAAGCCAGGCTCTGGGCTGCCCTCCAGGGCGGTGACCTCGGTCGGAGGGAAGGCGTGGCCTCGCTCCGAATCAGAGCCCCACTAACTCCCGGTCCCGAGGAGCAAGCCTCAGCCACGCTTGCTTTTGTCTGTTTTTCGAAAAGCGACCGTGGGGCAGGGACCTGTCGGCACCGGCCCCCTGTCCACCTCCCCCGGCCTGGACCGCGGGCAGGCGAGACTGGTCTCAGCATACCGCCCCCACCCCCGCCAGGGTCAGCGATGAGTGTCCCTTACCCATGAGACACAGACTGGCCAGTCTCATCGCCACGGCCCTGCCGGTCCACGGCATCGTCGTGGCTTCCTGCGTCCTCCCTCGCGCTCACATCTGAAAGGGAATCGGTGCCGGCGATCAGCATTCGGAGGCGCCTGGTTCAGAGGGCGGAGACCGGTGAGGAGAGACACTGGGAGCTGGGCCGGCCCCCACGTCCACGCGCAGCCGAGGCCCCCCGAGGCAGGAAGAGATTTTAATTTTATTTTTAATCTTGAGCAGGGAGCACAGCAACCTGGTTCCAAAGTTTCAAACACACACAAAAGTAGACAGGGAAGGGATCTGCTTCCTCTAGAAAACTGCTTTCGCAGAGGCCGGTGTGGCTCAGTGGATAGAGCGTCGGCCTGCAGACTGAAAGGTCCCGGGTTCGATTCCGGTCGGGGGCATGTACCTTGGTTGCGGGCACATCCCCAGTAGGGGGTGTGCAAGCGGCAGCTGAATGATGACTCTCTCGCATCGATGTTTCTAACTCTCTATCTCTCCCCCTTCCTCTCTGTATAAAATCAATAAAATATATTTTAAAAAAAAGAAAAAAAAGAAAACTGCTTTCATTATTGTTATTTTATCACCAGGGCCCGGGGCACAAAGTTCATACCCTCGGGAGGTCCCTCAGCCCGGCCTGCGCCCTCTCGGGGAGCCCTCCGGGGATGTCCGACTGGTGGCTTAGGCCTGCTCCCGGCCTAAGCCTTCATTCAGGCATCCTCAGTGCTGCCACGGAGGCAAGAGGCTCCCTCCACTGAGCTCGCCGGCCACGAGCCGGCTTCTGGCTGAGCGGTGCTCCCCCTGCGGAGCGCACTGACCACCAGGGGCAGCTCCTGCGTTGGGCGTCTGCCCCCTGGTGGTCAGTGTGCGTCATAGCAACCGGTAGTTCCACCCTGCGGTTGATTTGCATAGTAGCCTTTTATTATATAGGATTGTGTAGGATATTTTAATGATTTCAGAGGGAGGGAGAGGGAAGAGAGAGAGAAACATCATAATGAGAGAGAACCATGGACCGGCCGCCTCCTGCCCGCCTCCTGCCCGCACTGGGGATGGAGCCCTCACCCAGCCTGTGCCCGAGCGGGAATCGAACCCGGGACTCTTGTTCCATTCAGGCCCCACAGGAGGACGCCCAGAGCGCGGACCTGGGTGCGCGGAAACCCAGTGTGCTCCTCCTGCGTGTGTGCACGTGTGTGTGTGCGTGTGTGCGTGCGCGTGTGTGTGCGTGCGCATGCGTGTGCTCGTGTGCATGTGTGTGCGTGCGCGTGTGCGTCTGCGCGCGTGCGTGTGTCTGCGCACGTGTGTGCGCGTGTGCGTGCATGCGTGCACGTGTGCGCGTATGCGTGTATGTGCGTGCACGCGTGTGCGTGTGTGCGCGCGTGTGCGCGTATGTGCACGTGTGCGTGCGCGCCAGCAGGTGCTCCCCTCGGGGCCTGCCCAGCGCAGCCCCGCCCGCACCGGCTCGGACGCCCGTGGCGCCTCCACTCGCTCCGCGGAGGCGGGCGTGGCGGCCTTCCTGAGCTGCCGCACCGGACGGCGGACGCCCCCGGGCTCCTGTGCCCACGGCCGGGCTGCGGGGGCGGGAGGCCGGCAGCCAGGGGCCCGGTGAGCGGGCCTGCAGCCGCGGCTCTTCCCGGCCGCCCTGGCCTGCACCTGCCCAGCCGGCTCCCTGCCTGCCGCAGCCGAGACACCACACACACAGCCACACACACACACACAGCCACACACACACACACAGCCACACACACACACACAGCCACACACACACACACAGCCACACACACACACACAGCCACACACACACACACAGCCACACACACACACACACACACACACACACACAACCACACAACCACACACACACACACACACACAGCCACACACACAACCACACACACACACACACACACACACAGCCACACACACACACACACACACACACACAACCACACACACACACACAGCCACACACACAACCACACACACACACACTCACACTCACACACACACACACACAACCACACACACACACAGCCACACACACACACACACTCACACTCACACACACACACACACAACCACACACACACACACACACACACACAACCACACACACTCACACACACACACACACAACCACACACACACACAACCACACACACACACACACACAGCCACACACACACACACACACAACCACACACACAACCACACACACAACCACACACACAGCCACACACACACACACACACACAACCACACACACAACCACACACACAACCACACACACACACAACCACACACACACACACAACCACACACACAGCCACACACACAACCACACACACACACACACAACCACACACACAGCCACACACACACACAGCCACACACACACACAACCACACACACACACACAACCACACACACACACACACAACCACACACACACACACACACACACAACCACACACACACACACACACAACCACACACACACACACAACCACACACACACACACAACCACACACACAACCACACAACCACACACACACACACACAACCACACACACAACCACACACACAACCACACACACACACAACCACACACACAACCACACACACAACCACACACACACACAACCACACACACAACCACACACACACACAACCACACACACACACACACACACAACCACACACACACACACACAACCACACACACACACACAACCACACACACAACCACACACACAACCATACACACACAACCACACACACACAGCCACACACAACCACACACACACACACAACCACACACACACAACCACACACACACACAACCACACACACACACACACACAACCACACACACACACAACCACACACACAACCACACACACAACCCCACACACACAACCACACACACACAAATCTCACACACACAACCACACACAACCATATACACAAACCTCACACAGACACCACACAACCACAAACGTAACATCACACACACACACACACCCAGCCCTGTGGGCACAGACAATAGGAGGCCTGGGGGGGGATCGATGGGGCAAGGGGCCCTGTGATCCTTTAAAACGATCTGAGGAAACGGAGCCAGGAAGCCCCCTCGGGGCTCCCGGTGACCCCGCCCTCGCCTGCCTCTCTCGCGGCGCGCTCTGCGGACGCGCGCTCTGCGGACGTGGGAGACGGAGCAGAGGGAGAGGGAGAACCCACGGGCGGGCGGCTGCTCCAGCACGCCCCCTGGGGATCCAGCCCAGCCCCTCCCGCCCCTCCTGCGCCCTGGCCCCTGCTCAGCCGCCCGGCCTCACCCCGCTCCCCGGGGTGCTGGGAGCTGGCTCTCCTGGCTCAGCAGTCCCGCTTCCCCCTGGCGCCTGGCGACACTGCCGGGAAGCTGCCTGCCCACGGGCCGGCCGCAGACCCGCCCGCCCGCCCGTCCGGCCATGCCCAGAGGGCCCTTCCGGGGGCTCCACCCTCCAGCGGTCTCTGTCAGTGACCGGGGCCGCGGCCCGAGCCCAGGCCGGGAGCTCGCTCGCTGGCCTGCTCCCGCCCCCGCCCCCGCCTCCGGGGTGTGAGCAGGGGGGCAGTGCCCTGCTTCCCGGGGTGGCACCCAGGGCCCCGATCCCAGACGGCGGCAGCCGAGGCTGAGGCCCGGGCAGGTCCTGGGGGAGGGAGAGGTGACTCCGGTGAGCCGGGCGCTGGGTGTGGCTGGCACCTTCAGGCCGGGCCGGGTGCTGCCGCGGTGCTGCGGGCGGGTGTCCGTCAGGAGCGGGCGCCCTCGGCTGGGAGCCGGGACCCTCTCTTCCGGCGGCGCTCGGAGATGCCCACGCGGTGGCCGCGGTGGCCGGGGTTCCGGGCCCGCGCCGGGGGCGGCTGCACACGGGAGCAGGCGGGAAGCGGCCGCTGGGAGGGCAGGGCCTGTGCGGGCACTGCCTCCGGGAACCGGCGCCGTCTCCGGGCCCGAGGAGCACTGTGCCATTTCACCGCCCTCTGTCACCGTTTGATGCACCGGGTCCCGTTGGCGGGTTCTCTCAGGCAGCCCGCTCCCCGCGGCCTGGCTGGCTGTGTGTGCCCCGTCAGGCTCTTTCTCAGACTCCAGCCCTGGGCGCCGACCGAGGCCGATGTCACCGACCGAGGCCGATGCCGCCGTCCGAGGCCGATGCCGCCGCCCGAGGCCGATGCCGCCGACCGAGGCCGATGCCGCCGACCGAGGCCGATGCCGCCGCCCGAGGCCGATGCCGCCGCCCCGAGGCCGATGCCGCCGACCGAGGCCGATGCCACCGCCGAGGCCGATGCCGCCGCCGTCCGAGGCCGATGCCGCCGTCCGAGGCCGATGCCGCCGACCGAGGCCGATGCCGCCGCCGACCGTGGCCGATGCCGCCGTCTGAGGCCGATGCCGCCGATTGTGGCCGATGCCGCCGCCGACGAGGCCGATGCCGCCGACCGAGGCCGATGCCGCCGACCGAGGCCGATGCCACCGCCGAGGCCGATGCCGCCGCCGTCCGAGGCCGATGCCGCCGTCCGAGGCCGATGCCGCCGCCGTCCGAGGCCGATGCCGCCGACCGAGGCCGATGCCGCCGACCGAGGCCGATGCCGCCGACCGAGGCCGATGCCGCCGTCCGAGGCCGATGCCGCCGTCCGAGGCCGATGCCGCCGATTGTGGCCGATGCCGCCGTCCGAGGCCGATGCCGCCGTCCGAGGCCGATGCCGCCGTCCGAGGCCGATGCCGCCGTCCGAGGCCGATGCCACCGCCGAGGCCGATGCCGCCGCCGACCGTGGCCGATGCCGCCGCCCGAGGCCTATGCCGCCGACCGTGGCCGATGCCCTCGCCCTCGCTGTGGTGGGACGTGCTTGCCCGGCTGCCCCCTCCCCCCGCCGCCTCCTGTGTCCGCCGTGGGGTGTTTGCAGCGAAGCCTCTTCTCACCTCCGGCCCCACATCCTCTCACCTCGGGGCTCATCTCACCGAATTCTCACTGTCATCAAGCTGGTGGGGGGCGGAGGCGATCGCACTTTCCCTCCA